TGATTGGCTCAGCTTACACATACATATAACTGGCTCAGCTCACAGATATATGTGATTGGCTCAACTTATACATATAATTGGCTAAGCTCACACATACATGTCACGATTGGCTCAGCTCACACATATATGTGATTGGCTCAGCTCACACATATATGTGATTGGCTCAGCTTACACATACATATAATTGGCTAAGCTCACACATATATGTGATTGGCTAAGCTCACACATACATGTGATTGGCTCAGCTCACACATATATTATTGGCTCAGCTTACACATACATATAACTGGCTCAGCTCACAGATATATGTGATTGGCTCAACTTATACATATAATTGGCTCAGCTCACACATACATGTCACGATTGGCTCAGCTCACACATATATATGATTGGCTCAGCTCACACATACATATTATTGGCTCAGCTCACACATACATATAATTGGGTAAGCTCACACATACATGTGATTGGCTCAGCTCACACATATATGTGATTGGCTCAGCTCACACATACATATTATTGGCTCAGCTCACACATACATATTATTGGCTCCGCTCATACAAGTGATTGGTTCAGCTCATACATATATGTGATTGGCTCAGCTCAATTGTAGGACAGTTGCTAAATGGCTTCTATAGTAAATGTTTTATAAATATTTTGTAAACTTCCATATTAAAAAATCATTCATCATGAAATTCACTGTACACTCATCTTGGAATATCCATAGATGTAGTTTACAGTTATAAATATATAAATATAAATAAATATTCAAATAGCAATTAGAAACTTAAGATGGTAGCTGAAAACTATTCAACCGATGGCACCAACTGTGATTTTAACGTCATTGCTGCAGCGGAATATAATTTAAAAATTACCTTATTGTCAGTAATCAGCTAAAGTGATAGCGAATCAAAACCTCTTGTTTCAATCAACATTTAAATATTTACAAAAATTCAGGAATGAGTGTACCACTACTGTAAAAACAATGGGGACATACCTTTATTCTGAACGTTTATTTTATTCTGACCGCTCACTAGGTGGCGCTGTCTGAACGGATCCACAGCGTCTTTGCAAAGGCTTCTGGGAAAATAAATGCTGCACAAACGTATAGGGAAAATGGCGACCGATGTGGCGAGTCGTAAGGAAATTGTACTCGTTGACGAAAGTTCAGACAGGTAAGCCATGATTCATACTTTATTAATAACGATTATTGACGACCGTCAAACCCTCGATTAAGGCGGCCATGTTTTTATTATGTGGAAAGGAGAGGAGAGTGATTCTGATGTTGTCCGGTGTGATGAGCAACATTTTGTGTTGGGGGGGAAAAATCAACATCGCATATGCTTGTTGCAATGAATGTAAACTAAAGACTATTACCAGAGTCAGTTCAACTCTCGTTTGTGTTTGTATATCATTTGATTCTGTTTAAATTCTAATTTGCAGTCTATAATAACACTGACGCCGTTGTATCGACCATAACTATAAACGGAAATGACCTTGAGATTTAAAAATTGCAAT